AAAGTGTCGGGACAAATTTTTTTTTTTCATTTTATAGTACATAAAATAAGCTTTAATTTGATATATGTTTAAAGGACGCAGTATTTCCGGAACATTTTCAAAAATTAAGTTGAAAAAGTTAGTTTTTGTAAAAAAGTTGCTATTTTAAATCTCCCCCAATGAGCAGGTTAAGTGTTAGATTTTCAAAAAAATGATATCAAATGAAAGGTAAATATTTAAGGTTTTAGTATAAAAAAAAATTATGTTGATTTGTTGATTTTTCAAAAAGTTATGGAAGTTTTAAGAAAAAAAAGTGAAAAAATTACGAAAATTAGCGATTTTTAAATTTGTAATTTTTTTGGATATTTCCCCCATTTGCGGGGAACAAGGGAATTTTTTTCAATTTTTAAGGGTAATGTCTTCAACTAGATACGATTTGTGATCTTTTGACGTATTTTTGAAAGAAATCGGTCCTATGAGAGCTGAGAAAAAGTGGCAACAGACATAAAAAAAAAAAAAAAAAAAAAAAAAAAAAAAAAATCATACACAACACATCATAGTAAAATTAATACCTTCTCCGCTTCGCATCGAAGCTAATAATAACCTACATGAAATTACACCAGTCAATATAAATTCTAGCTCAGGCAGTTAAATATTGGATTTTAATAACTTATACATTAATAATAACGAGAATAAAATTTTACTTTAAAAAGTTTAATTTGTCACTAAATAATAATAAAATAACGAATTTTATAAAAATTTCCTTTTTGTTTTGGACTTTTATTAATTGAAAAATATTTTAAATAATTTTTTAGTTTTAAATAATGATTGGGTATATAATATTTAAAAATATAAGACTACTTTATTATTAACAAAATAATCAAGTTTCTCTCATAACTATATGGAGTTAAATTAGTTCTCAAATAAAAAAAATGCCAATATTCCTTAATTTTATTAAATCTAATAACAAATTTTAAAATTAACCAAAACATAATCAAATATTTATTAATTCTTATACTATCATATACAGAGTGATTCTCATAACGATAGATGTTTGATAATGAGTGGCATTACTGCTGAGTGAACAGCCTTCCTTATCAACAGCCGTTGGATTCAAGTTTTTAAAAAAATTGTTATGTTTGTTTTCACAAATAGTTTTAGTTGTATCAATTGAAACATTTTTGTCGTTTATGTTTAATAAAGTTTGTTTTTCTGATTAAGTATATAAAAAATAATTGTTGCGTATAATTAAGCATCGTTGTATAAACATTGCTCATTTTATTATACATTGTTAGTGAGATTCATTGACTACAGTTTACTGTAAATATTAAGGAGTCTTGCTGGGATTAGAAATTCCGCTAAAGGATTCCATAACGTATATGGGCCTCATCATAGGCATGCACATTACTCATGCCTTTCTGATTTCCATGACTTTCTAAGTCATGGAAATCTTGGGGGGACTCATGCCCAATCAAAGGGGGCCGAGGGAGATGCGGACCAGACTCTTAATTAGTGTCGTACATTCGGTCCTCCTGTGCGAGTACAAAGTTAGGGCAGATAATATTGTATATTCCCAAAAACAGAAGCATTCCCTAGGGCGCAGAGGGAGAACCTCTACATTGTACATACTATTTATAAAATTTTACCTCAGCATTTGTTAGTATTACATTTGTAAGTCATTAAAGTAATTATCAATTCAGTATTATTATTCTATATAAGATCAAGGCGGTGATGTGTGATTTATGTTAATTATATGATCTATAAACAATTCACGTCAAAGTTAAAAATCTGCAGGTAAAAAAATTACTATAGTATTTATGTGTCATTTAATAGTTCCAGTCACACAGTTGATATTTGAATATTATTTAAATAAGTAATTCTTTTAGTTGTACAGCTAACTATTGTCAATATTGTGCCAAAATTTTATTATTACTATAGAAAATTATAGTAAAATAGTATATAGCGAGAGATTACTAAAAATATAATTATTTGTGAAAATGTATTTAATTTCATTATTTCATTAAAACACACCTAATTGTGATACAACGTCCTGGTATTACAATTTATTAATAACCTTTAACTGACGCTTCTTATTGTCTCTGTGTAAGTGTTGAAAAGTTACGTGTGTAACCCGGTCAAGTTTCACGTAGCTTATCATCACCCACCCCTTTTCGCCACTTGACCTACGACATAGTAGTTGTAGGTGCACTATCAGCACCTAAGTCATTATGTTCTTGTACGGTGGCCGACCGTCGAGTCCGATGACTCGTTGTGTGGCGTAATTTCGTTGGTTTGGTGTCGGTCTGTATAAGCGAAAACCCTATCGTATATTTTATTGAATACTCTCTTCATATTTGGAGATGATATTCACACACCTGTAGCGTATCTCTTATTTCCGGTCAATTAGTACATAGCTCAGAAACAATCGCAAGACGCATGATTATTAACGTCTGCCCAGAAGGATTTGTTGTGGGGCATTCAAAGGATTGTAACACTAAGCAAGCGGTGCAAGTGCCAGATAGCTGGTTGATGTTATTCTTTTCTTTATGTTAATGTTCTTACTATATGTAATTGCGTAATAGAATCATGTCATTAGAAAAATTATAGTAAATTGTCTTTAAATTTTATTATTTGAGTGTCAAGTAAAACACCCAGCCCGTNATTGTCTTTAAATTTTATTATTTGAGTGTCAAGTAAAACACCCAACCCGTCATTTATATAGTTAATTAAGTTAACGTTTATGTAAAGTATTGAAAGGTTGCTCTGGGACCTAGAATTTAACTACATAATTTTTTAGTTAGTGTGATAGGATTGCTCACTCCTAGGGCACATATACTAGCCATTCGATGTTTCTTAAAATAATTATTATGTTAAGAAAAGTATTTGTTAATTAGTTTTTAAACAGTTATTATTAATAAATTATTAGTATTCATTCCTTATACTTTATCAGGGTGCTAACTTAATTTTTTCAAATGGCAATATACAAATATTTCGTATTTGATCAAAATGATTATGTAACATACAAACAAATGTTCTATGATGTGGCCATAATAAACCTATTTTTTATTGAATTCTTTTTTAAAGAACAAATGGTAGCTTTAATCTATTGTAGACTTATTGAAACAGAAATTTAACATTAAAATATAAACTAAAAAATTTTTTATTATTTTATGAATTGGTTAAAGCTTTCAAAGATTTTTGTATTATTTGAAATGTTTACAGATGTATCCATTTCTCCAGTTTTTGGCTGACGTTTCGGACTCGTTCAAAGTCCATCTTCGGACCGATAACAACTAAATCGTAGTTGTACTTACACTGTCAGCTTGGTTTGTTAACAGTTTGTTTTTATATTGACTGATAATTGATAACGTCGATATTGATTATTTATTTGTTGTTTATTAATATTTTTGCCTAGTGTGTGATTAGTAACCAAGTAAAGCTAATTTTCCATCCATTTTCTTTGTTATAATTTTTTGGATATTTTCATACATTCGTTTGACAAATGAGTTTCTTTGAACCTTACTATTAATCTCAAATAAACTCAAAATTATTTTCTAATTGTATTTTAATATAGAAATATTTTTAAAGAGGTAAAAATTAATTTAGACCTCAAATAAATTTAGTTAAAACTGCATCTATGGTATATGATTATTTGTTATGTACAATTGATTCTTTAAAATTGTGTTAATCAAATTCAAACATTTTTAAGAAGTCAATCAGAATATTTATTCTAAAACTGACTTTTGTTAATTATACTATAGTCTATAAAAATTGCAGACTTTGAAAATGTAATAACATTTTTCATAGTAACACTTAATTTTTTATCAATGATGCAATAGAATGGATTGATAATATTTATTTTATCTAAAAATACATTACATTATTTACAAAATTTACTTTAAAACTCACGATCATCAGTTTTATTGGTATAACCTACTATGGGTCAATCCATTCCAAATCATCCAGAAGTGGTTGCATGACTACTTCATTTTTTTCTTAAATTTTCAGGGTTTATTCTTTATGGCTGTAATTAGATTAAAACAATTTTTTTTTTATGACCTCACTTTTATGGCTATTTTAATGTAAAAAACCCAGCACAGGGGGGTCGCGGCACAGTGGTGACGTACCATAGTTGGATCAAGTATAATGATATCTGACAGTGATTAAAATCACTATAAAAAAAAAAGTGGTAACAGATACAAAAAAAAAACACATCATAGTAAAACCAATACTTTCTCAGCTACGCATCAAAGCTAAAATGTTAAAAATATCCAGCTAACATGTAATATTTAGCATTAGAAAATCAGTAAAAATCCGCTCAAAATCAAATAATTTAATGATAGTTTTTGTTGTTTTCAAACCACATTTTTATAATTTTTTTATATATTATTGTATAAGTAATACAGTACGATTCAAAACAATTATTATATATGTTATAATTATTCAATTCATTATTTTAGTTGCAAAATAAAAAATAAAAAAATAAAATTACTATCATAATATTATAAAATATTTTAATAAATAATCATGGTTTTATTCTAGTAGTTAGAATATTCTGTCTTCATAAATATCAGTTAATGATATCTTAAGACTTCTTATGGTACTATTATTAATTGGTAAAATTCTGTGTTTTTACCAATTACTGAGAATAGTTTTACACAATTTAAATCTCATATTAGGTGAGGTATTATAATTTCTAAAAAATTAAAATAATTTCAAAATAATTTAGGTATTATAATCTAAATTGATTGTTAAAATACTGTATTTTCTCACAATAAATAAAAAAAAGTTGTATTATTTTCCAAACTAACTTTATTTATTATCATAATTATGTTAAATCCAAATTAAATCACAACCTGAAATACATTTGATGTATTGAAAATTTATGAAAAAAATCATAAAAAATTTATTAACATTGCAATTCGTTCTGGGCATTTGTTATTTACCTGTAGATGTTATATAATTATCATATGGCACAATTAAGTGTAAAAAAAAAAAAAAAAAAAATTATAATGAAAACAAAATTAAATTATATAAGATAAAATTATTTACATATTTTGGTTTTATGTTATTTCTAATTCAATGTTTAAACATCAAGCAAAAATGTACATAACAACACTAAAACGTATTAAAAATTGCACACTAACTCTGATAAAATTTAATCTTTACTTTAAAAACTTTATTTTATGTATTACTTATAAATTTTTGAGCCATGAAATATACACATACAAAAAAAAATTTCCAGGTTGGTAACAACTTTTTTTTGGAAGTGTATTTACACTTAGGAAATAAAAATGATACAGACTATTAATTAGAGTTCATATGATAAAAGGTTAAAATACACAAATAATTTGATTTATTAAAAAAAAAAGTTAGTCAAAAAACAAAAACAAAACAATTGTACATAATTGTTTTAATAATAATTACATGTTATTTTGATGTTGAATTGCGAGTATTTTAATATTATTAATGAATAAAACAAATTGCCCATTCATTTGTTAAATGCTTAGCTTAAGTAGTAAAATGGAAAATATATGTACAACACGACCTTAACTATTACTTGATAATTGTCTAAAAAATTATTTAATAATGATAATAATAATAAAGAAAAAAAAATATGTATAATAATAAATAAATATATTGCACAATTATAAAAAGTACACACACTAATTATTAATTACAATCAATAAATTAAAACTAGACAGTAAATATATTTATATATTTTACATTTATACTTACACTATGGGTTTAATAATAATAAAAATAATAATAATACAAATTAATTTCTAATTTTGTTTTTTTTTTAACAGACTTGATAACACTGTACTGCATTTTAAGTCTAATGGTAATTTACATTATATGTTTAACTGATATGCAATAACAAAAGTACTGTCAATGCAAAATAAATTTGTGGGAAATAGTTACTAATAGTAAAATACAAGTATAAATGGGAGCAGTCAGTAGTACTTAGAAACTTGGAATGACTTCCATATTAAATAATATGATTAATTTTTTAAATCACAATCTTTTGCAGTCAAAAATTATACCAACTATTCAAATGTTTAGTTTAGTATTAAGGTATAATTAGTATGCACATAAAATTTGAATGTTAAGTAGAAAAACAAAAGGAATGAAGAATTTAAATACTTAACATTAAGTAAATCGTCCCAGATCATAATATAATAACTATAACAACATCAACATTATATGTAGGATGAGATGTACAATTTCTTTAATACTTATATGATACACATAAAATTTTCATATTTATGAATACTATAGTGGAGATTCAACATTATTATTATTTAATTTAATTTACCATTAGAGTATGTGATTCAATAGGAGCAGCTGAATCATACAGTGTATCTGTGTCTTGAGTTGGTTCACCTTGTAATTGGCATTGGTTATTTAAGGTACCAGCTCCACAATCACAAAAGAATCTAAAATAATATTACAATAAGATGGTATTTTATGATTGATGAGATAAATATTAAATAAATATAACAAAATTAGTTAAAATATAACTTAATTTAAATAGTATTACACTACAAAAAAAAAAAAAAAATGTTGAAGTCAATTAGTATGAAATATTTAAGTAAAACCTAATACAGGTTTTTACTGAAGCATTTCTCAACTTAAATTTTTAATTTATTACAGTAATATCTAAACATCATGTGCAATAAAATATTTAATATAAAAAATGAGATTAAAAATGGTTCATTGATCTTTGAACAAATTTTTAAAATTAAAAAAATTTGATTTCTAATAAATGCTTTTTTATTTTTGAAAATAGTGTGAATATTAATTAATTGCTAAACATAATAAGAACAATTTTTTCACTTATTACCTGTCATGTCTGATAAATTCAACATCATGTCCAGCATGACACGTTTTTATACAATTTACACAAATTGCATTTCTATCAGTCGTGTTGCACGTTTGACAACGATAAAAATCATGCATTGGAAAAGATGTATAAGACGAAATTTTATACAAACATTGACCATTACAGACTGCCTTTTCAACGGCATCTTGATTACTATAAATCTTATTACCTAAAAATATAAATTTATAAAATTTATTAACATTATTTCTAGAATGTTTGCAATAAAAATGTTTTATTCAAAGGAAAGTTTAAACTTACTTCTTACAATAGGTTGCACACCACTAGCCAAGCAGAGACCACCAAATCTATTATTAAATATTTGATTACTATCTAAGGTAGCTGTAGCATTATTTGTGATTTCAACACCTGCTGCTAATCCATCAAATATTCTATTACGCCTTAGAATGGGATGACTTTGGGTAGATATCAAAACTCCAGCTTGAGCATTTCTAAAGATTTCATTTTCTTCTAAATTGCCTACAAGTTTTAATAAATATTGAGTAATAATTTTACAAATTTTATTTATTAGACATTTTAAATATTTTTATTCCTTGATATAACATTCAAACATTCATAAATACTTTTACAAAGTAAAATGTACAAAAATAATAATTCATATTAGATAATTAGTAAACTTTAAGTATGATAACTAGATTCAATAAGAATATTAGAGAGACTACACATATTACTATAATAAATAATATCTCGTCTATAAATAGACGGAGTTCATGTAAAGAGAAACAAGTCAATTTTGAAAAAAATTTGGATTATACGTTAACTTTTTGTGAAATTTTATGCCCAATTGATATTTATAAAAAAAATTATAAAGTGCACTTGCCTCTTCTGTGTGCTAGACTAACAGTATATTTGAAATATGAATGAACTTGATGCTTTTTTACATATATTTATTTATTTATAACATTTTATACAGGCAAAGCCCAAAAATATATATAACAGTCATCAGAAACATCATTAATAAAAATTAGTAAAAAATAATTAACAGAAGAAAATTTATACATACATTGACCCAAAATATAAATTAAAACAACATAAACGAAATAAAAATAATTCGAAAGCTGGATCATTATTAGCCAACCGCATATGACGAATTATTGAGGTGCAATCAAGGAAATGAGAAGGGGTAGGGGGATGAGGAATATAGTGTTAATACAGGTGGTGTGAAAAGGGATTTTAAATTTTAGAAGGCTAAGAAGTTGGATAGGAGGTTATTTAGGAAGGAGAGGTTTGAATTGTGGCGTCGATCGGCAAGGCTGGTGAGATGTAGGATAAATAGGACAGGAGAGTAATCATGAGGAGTGTGAAGGATATTGAGGCGGAATGCTGCTAGGTTTAAAAATTTTCTTTGGACTCTTTCTAACGATTCCCTTGCACAAACTGTTTGGGGATCCCAAAGAACTAATAGCTTTCTAATTTAATAACAATAATCTCTAATAGAAAATTAGTAATATTTTTGTTGAATAAAACATACCTTTTCCGCCATTAAAAATGCAAATTCCACCATCTCGACCATCATATATTTTATTTCGTTTCAATGTTGGATTGGAGTCAGTTTTAATCCAAACACCAGCCATTGCATTGTCAAATATTTCATTTTGTTCTAATACTCCAAGACCTCCATTATAAACCAAAACACCACCATTCTGGCCTCCCCATATTTTATTTCCTTTAATAATTGGATTACTTCCCGTCCTAAAAAAAAAGAACACATATACAATGTAAGAATAACTTTTACAGAACTTCCATAAGACTTAATTTTTCACTATAGGTTATAGACACTAATTAATTTAAATTATAAATTAATGGTATTATGCATAATACAATTTAAATATCACAACAAATATAATGAATATAATTATATAAATTATTATGTTTATAAATTAAAATTTAGAAGGATAACTGAACTAGCATTTACAGTTTACCAGTTTTATCAATTTTCAAGTTTGTCATGGTATAGTTTTTTTAAAAGTTCTGAAAAATAGGCTTAAGTTTATAAAGTTTACTTAAAAATAAATAAATAATTTAAAACTTTAATAAATTATTTACTATGTATCTATCAGGATTAATAAAAACGGGGGGTGATTAAATGAGAGAGGATTAGGAGAATACAACTCCTTTCATTTATATATCCTTTTAACATATCTTTGTGTAATATTCAGAAAACTTCAATGTTGTGGAAATTATATAGGCTGTTTGATTAAGGATAAAACATTAATTTTGCTTGAAACTATTGAAAACTTTTAATTTTCTAAAATAAAAAATTGTTTAATTCAAAAAACTACTGTAATATGATGTAAAATAATTTTTTGTTTATATCTTCAAGTATAAAATATCTAAAATTTTATTTTATTTAATAGGAACACTTATTTTTAGTTTGACGATATAATTGAAAAAAGTTCCAAATCATTTTGTTCTTACAATATTTTTTATTAGATAATCTATTTTTCGGCTATTATTTATTAAAGTATAGCGTTTTTTGATCAATTTTTCTATTAATAGTTTGATGTGTTGTATACAGTATTAGATATTATTTTTTCATGCTATTACTTAAACAAGTTTTTTTTTTTGACAATTTTTAGTGTTATATCCGTTAAGATAGCAAGAATAACAATAATAACAATAATAATTTACGACTCATTGAAATAGATTATTATTACCTCTAATATTATGAAAACTAAATTAATGATAGATTTATAAATTTAATTAAAATTTTTTAAATATTTTAATGCACTAATAGTTGATCGGATAAAAAATATGGCAAGAACAAAATTGTTTGTATGTTCCTATTATGTCTTTAAACTAAAAATAGGTGTTCCCATTAAATAAAATTAAAATTAGGGTACTGTATACCAAGAGATGAAAAACAAATTATTTAACTACTTATTGTGTTAGTTTTTTAAATCAAACAATTTTTTAATTTTTACAAATTAAAAATATTCAAGTTTAAAAAAAATTGAGTGTTTTATCATTAATATATTACTTTATATACAATATGGCTAGAAAAAAGGGCTATAAGTGAAATTTAAAATAATTGAGTTAGGTCATGGGTAAGGGGGCGGGTGGCACACAGTTCATAAAAATTTTTTTATAAAGATTTTTCATCCCTTTTCATGACAAAATAATTTGACTATCATTGAACTGGTTACCACTGATTAGTGCTGTTATCCTATTTCTTATAACAAAAATCAAGGAAAATTTTTTTATCATTTTTTTTTTTACCTTATTTGAACTCCTGAGTATAGATGGTTAAAAATGTCATTGTCTTCTAGTTTTCCATGACCATTATCATAGAAATACACGCCAACTTGTTTCCCTGAATGAATTCGATTGCGTCTTAGTACTGGTGTACTACCAGTAGTAATCCACACACCAGCTAATGTATTTGCATATACTTCATTCTCTTCAACTAGCCCTGCCCCTTTCTCATGTACATAAATTCCACCATGTTGACCATGATGAATTTTATTATGTCTGACAATTGGATCACTATTTGTACGTATTTGAATACCAGCTAATGCGTTTCCTATGATAAAAACAAAAACATACATAAAAATTAATTATAATAAATAAAAACAAAGAAAAAACTTTTACTAACCATAAATATTATTATGTTCGATAAGTCCTCGACCTTCACCAAAAATATAAACACCTCCTTGATGGCCATTGTAAATATCATTGCGACGTATAGTAGGATTACTATTTGAAGTAATCCAAACTCCAGCAAAATTATTGCTATGAATGCGGTTATCAATAAATTGACCAAGTCCATTTTCATGTACATAAATACCTCCTGTTTGACCATGATGAATTTCACATTGAACAACAGATGGGTTAGCTCCAGCTTTAACTTCAAAACCAGCAATACGATTGTTATGAATATCATTGGCTTCAAAAAATCCCTTAATTAAAAAATAAAATTTATCAATTAACAAAACTTTAACAGACAAGAAAATATGAAACTTAAAAAACAACATATCTTAAATAAAATGTTTTTTTGCTAGAATAAAGTATAAAATGTTAAGAGATTTCTATAACAAATACTATGAAATAGAACTATTTTTATTTTGTTGAAAATTTGGTGGCGGATCTAAGAAAAATACTCAACACAATAATTGAGTACAAGTAAAAATTATTAAATTTTTTCATTTGCTAAAATGGAAAATAAAAATTTAATTTTGTTCTCTTGTAAAATAAGAACCCTCATTATGGTTTACTGACTGGTCAGTACAAATTATTATTAATTTAAATGAAAATTATCAATGCATATAATTTCATGCTCTAATTATCACCCACATTTTTTGATTTAATAAATTAAAGTTATAACTAAATTTTATGAAGTTATATCCTTTATGACAATATTTAATTGTATAATACATAAAATATAATATTTATATAAAAAATTGAATATTTTTTTTACCAATCCATTGTCAAAAGTGAAAATCCCCACATCTCTTCCGTGATGTATGTGATTACGACGCATGACAGGGTTGGCATGGTTTTTAACCCAAACTCCAGCCAAAGCATTTCGACAAATTTCATTATCTTCAAATGTTCCTTGAGCGTGGTCTGTTACATATATACCAACATTTTCACAGTCGCTTACATCACAATGATGAATTCTAGGATTTGCCCCAGCTCCACTAACACACACAGCAGCTCCAACAACTGATGAGCTACGTATAATACAATGATCAATAGTAGGCGAACAATTTTCACCAACTTCTAAACAAAAATGTTTATGATGTGGAACAGTAGATGTAACATTTGGAGTAAATTTTAGTGTGACATGTCCCAGATAAGCACTTTTAGCCCCTTCGACAAACATTACTGTTGATTCTGTTTCACGTTCTAGGATGACTGCATCTGCTACAACACCAGGAGCAGCTCCAATAAGTGCTACATCTGAATCAATCACTAGAAATTCACCTCGGTAAGTACCAGGGTGTAAGAAAAGTTTTGCACCTCCATTTAAATGTTCATCTGCATAATCTAGAGCAGCTTGAATAGTGTCAAAATGTGGCATTCGTCTCACTGGATCTTTAGCTGTACCATTATAATGAGGTCTTACATGCAAGCACCGTTTTTTTAGGTGTCTAAAACTTTCTTTCCAAGGATTGTGATGCTCACTTTCTTCAAAAGGAATAAAGTCAAAACGACAACTTTCAGTATTGAACAATGGAGTATCATACTCAAATACACTTTGATATAATCGTTTCCATAAATTATTATCATTTGCTATAGCTTGAAATCTTTTGCAAACTTGAGCTATTCTACAAAGATCTTGTTCATATAAATAACTGAAAATTGTCAACATGACTTCATCAGGCAATTCACATTGTAAGTAATGAGCAGCTGAATTTGAATCTGGAAATTAAACAATAATTTAATAGTTAATTTGAATTCAGTTACATAGAGTACAAAATGATCAAATACTAATCTTTAAAACCCTAGTGTACTCATTTGGATACACAACAGAAGTTCATTTAAAGACAATTGTCTATATTTAGTAATTGTCTGATTAAGTGTTTAAAATTATTTTTTATTTTAACATTGTGCTAATAAATCTGTACTATTGTGGTTAAGTGTTAATAAAAAATGTTTAATAATAGTAAATATTTTACTTGATTGAAAATTGGGCTAGTATTTAAAAAAAAATACAAAATTTCTAGAGCCATAAAAATACATGTTCATTATTTTGTTTTATTTTAATGCTCTCCATGATACATTATGTTTACACAGTAACAGATTTAACCACAATAGTTAAAATTAAATAAATTGTTCAATACAAAATTTATTTTAAAAAATTATAAAAAAAAAGAATATAGTGGTTTAAGCATTATTTATCAACAATAAAATGTTAACTAATACTTAAATAATTATTTATTATGTTAATACATACTATCAGCACTAGTTATTGTACAGGAAGTATTTCTTCTGAGTCGTTTACGTGCTGGTTGTGATAAAGGAGGTGTAGCAGCAGATTGCAATACTGATGCAGTAGCTGAAGCTGTTGGTGATGTAGGCCGAGTAGCAGTTGGATGAACAGGAGCTGTTGCGCTACATCCAGCAGTACTAGCATCATGTAAATGAAGAGGAGATTTTCGACCCCTTAAATCATAGGGTGGTACATGCTGAAAACTAGAACTCGTACTAGCCCCCCCTGGTGTAGCATAACTACCACTTGCAGCTACGAGTGGTTCACAAGTAACTCCTGCATCAACAACACCACCTAAAATTAAAATGTATAATTGAATTAAATGTAACTTTAATATTTTATTTAATTCATAGCATTTTAATACTAAAACAATAAAATTAACAATCACTACATTAGGTTATTAATATTTTTACCAAATGATAAATTATAATACATTATCAAATCTTAAGTAGTATACACAATAACTTCAGACGAAGATTTTCTGTTATAAAAATTAAAATATAGTTTTTCTTGATAGTTCAAATAAAAAATTCCAACATCAGAATTAAAATAATCCAAAATTATCAAGTTATCAGTAATAATTCATATTATAGTAGAAATTACCATGGTTAAATATTTAAGAAAAAATTATAAAAATAAATAAGGTATTTTAAAAGCATAAAAAAATTTTTAAGTTTTCATTAGAGAAATTACCCTTAGTGTCCTCTTAAAATCATAAGAATTAATTTTAAGGAATGAATTTTAATTTCTTCAAAATTTTATTGAAGTCATTAGTAATGAAATGTTATACATAATGATTTACTATTTCTTACAGTAATTAGTTTCCCTTTCCTTCCCTGTAAGCAAGCACTTACATTCACATTTTTTTAAGTATCTACATTTCTTTTTGAGTCATATTTATTTGATCTAATTACTAGCCGCTGGGGTAGTGTGCACACACCTAGAATAGATGCGTACGTCATTAAATGAAACATGGAAATTTCAGAAACCCTAATCTTGACCCAAAATATTATTAATTAAAATTTCAATAACCTCGCGAAGGCGAGAGGGCCGTAACAGAGACCGTGGTCGCTGTTTATCGATTCGGAAAGTACGTGATAGCAAACCTTGACAGCGAGATCACAGCACATATATACACAGACGGTATCTCTCACGGCCGTTTTGGCAGATCGGAGTCAGAAAGACTTAAATTACATTTAAGACAATTGCAAAACATGATAAAAAGAATGACAACTTACCTGAATTTGATGTCCTGGATGGTATTGGAAGACGATTAGTACCTTTTCTCCTGGTTCGACGAGTATACGAACGGGTCGAGCTGAACGACGCGCTCGGCATTTTTTTTGACGTTTTTCGTACAATTTTCAATAATTACACAATTTATTCACAGCGACTACTAATTGACAATGATATTTTTAAATTAACACTAAATATAGAACAGACGACGATATAGAACGAACGCAACACGAGACTTTCAAAGACGATGTATCAATAATTCTAATAATTTTACTAACATGTATATATTTATGTACTATAATTTTTATTAATCGTTGTTTAAGACTACGACGGCGGCGGCGGGCGTGCACACACACTCACACACACACGGTCGGGTCGAGACAAAAGAAAGGAACAGGCAGCTGCTGCTGGTCATGAACGACGACGTCGCACGGACATTTTTTCTCTTCACAGTTCTCTTGACGGCGGCAGTAGAGTATATGTATATGTGTGTGTGCGAGTACGAGAGTGTCTGTGACTGTGTTCTCTTTTCTCGCTCACACTCGCACGCGCATTCAATACTATACACACACACAAATATTTTACTTGTGTAAATGTATACACGCACACGAATGCACACTGCACAAACTACAGCGATAGTGGCGGTGTCATCGGCGGCGGCAGTAAACAACAACGAGTCGACAACCATTAATGAAAAAACACAGTAGTATAATAAAAAATGAAAATACACATGAGTGTAGTATGGTTTACCATCTCGATATAGTGATGATAGGGTGCGTACTTCATACCATACACCGACCAATCGCAGAGACTTAGATCCGGTCACGTGATCACATTGTCGAACAATAGTCTATACCACCACTACAGAATACTTACATGAAGGGGGCACAAATAGTTAGTTGGTTGATGAAGTGAGGTAAGCGTAAAAATATTTTGTTATGAGCAGGAGTTATATAAATAGTAATGTTGGTAATAGTGGAAATACGTACCAGCTGATCGGAACAAATGTCGACTAGAGGTAAAGGATTATGCCTCTTTTTATTTTTAAAAATTTTTGAAATTATTGAAATCATGAACGTAAACCTAATTTTTATTTATTTCATTATTGAATAATTAAACTTTTAAGATCTATGGTATTATAAATATTTGTAAATTATGCTATAATTAGGTATGTTAATTTGTTTATATTAATTTAATGGTTAATACAAAAAATGACAATACTTTTTTTGATGTGAATATTATTGAGGTTTAAATTTAAAAATTTACTTAGCCAATTATTTAAATTAATAGTTATTCTTCTTCAATATTTATTATATTATTTTATATAATAGTAACAATGTTTTTTATCGATTGTTTTTTGTTATTGTTCTACAATTTCTGTACTGTAACAGTATTATGTTTTAAATAAATTAATTATAAAAGAATTTATCTTTTGAAGTAATATTATTTACTTAAATGATTTTTTTTTATAAATAAATTAACTGTTATGAGTGCCGGTAGCAACCTCAAGTTTTCTTTAGAAGGTTGTTTTGTATTACAATATTGAAGTTACTGTCAAAATATGTGTCTCATTTAATTAAAAAAATATTAATGAAATAAATTCAAATTTTTTCTATAATTTCTAAAAATATATTTTTTTTAATGTTTGAAAGTATTTTAGTGTTATCTGAGTGATAAGTGTTATCTAAAATTGTGATTATACTCAATTTATACATATTGGTTTATAAGTTTGTGTTTGTTGTAATACCATGACTTAAATAAGGTACTTTTGCTCACTTTTTATGCCTGACATGTGTAAATATGTAATAAAATAAATGTGCAATCCATCTCAACGCATACGTTCATATATTATTTATAGTTGTATATTTACAATTAACTTAACTTTTATCATTGCCGTTGTATTTGAAATTATTTTCAATTGTTTTCATATTAAAATTATGGTAGTTTTTCCTTACTTTAAATACCAAGATTCAACTAAAATTTTATTAATTCTTGAATTATACACTCGATTAATCTGATAAACTAATGATTGATTGCTTGATCAATATANTTTTATAAATAAATTAACTGTTATAAGTGCCGGTAGCAACCTCAAATTTTCATTAGAAGGTTGTTTTGTATTACAATATTGAAGTTACTGTCAAAATATGTATCTCATTTAATTAAAAAAATATTAATGAAATTAATTAAAATTTTTTCTATAATTTCTAAAAATATTTTTTTTATTGTTTGAAAGTATTTTAGTGTTATCTGAGTGATAAGTGTTATCTATAATTGTGATTATACTCAATTTATACATATTGGTTTATAAGTTTGTGTTTGTTGTAATACCATGACTTAAATAAGGTACTTTGCTCACTTTTTATGCCTGACATGTGTAAATATATAATAAAATAAATGTTCAATCCATCTCAACACTTACGTTCATATATTATTTATAGTTGTATATTTACAATTAACTTAACTTTTATCATTGCCTTTGTATTTGAAATTGGTAGTTTTTCCTTACTTTAAATACCAAGATACAACTAAAATGTTATTAATTCTTCAATTATACACTCGATTAATCTGATAAACTAATGATTAATTGCTTGATCAATATAAGATGTTCAATAAATATTTGATAAAAAGATTATCTAATCAAGTCAAATGTTTTGAAAAAAATGCACTTATAATATTTCTTAAATATTGTTTTAAATGAAAAATAAGTTCAAATTTTTAGAAGAATAGTATCTTATTACTAAATTTTAATTTTATAGAAAGAATTAATTGAAATTATGACGTTATTAGAGAAATTATTTTAAATTGTTTAATAACTTTTAGTTGGCATCTTAATAATTAAAGTAATTAAATAAAAAAAATAAGTTGATATTTCATAATTATTTCAAAAAATTTTGGCTAACTATTTAACATTATTATAACATTTCATTTTATATTTAATAATAATTATTCAATATATTATTATAGGGAACTCGGAATGCAATTTTAAAGCAGTGCACAAATTAAAAAAAAGTATGTAAAGAAATAAGGCTTCTAATTGTTGTTTTTTGTGTTTCCTATTTTTTAAAATTTAATGGAATGTAAGGTGATATGATGAATATCTTATATACCCAATGTTTTTTTTAATATTATTATAATAACACTTTATTTGATGTTATTTAAATTTGACTCTAAATTTTTCAGTGATAGATAAAAATATATTTCTTTAGCTAGTATATTTTTTTTGTTTAGTAGAACTTCCCTAGTTAACTTATTTTTTAATGGATCTTGAAGCTAATTATTGTGCTAAATAAGGATAGTCTTAAATTTAAAGAATAGTTTCATAATATAGCAAAAAAGTTTGTGTTTAACAAAAATATACTTAGTTTTCAACTTTTTTATATGTTTTAAAGATGACAAAAATGTTTTCCCAATATATATGAATTTAATTAGGCTGTTTTATTATAATTCTTCTTTAATTGTTTGTTTAATAATTGAATTATTCTAAGAAAATAACATGAATTGCTGATCAATACTTTGAAAGATGTTAATTAAATATAAATGGTAGAGGTCAGGATAGTNATAAGGCTTCTAATTGTTGTTTTTTGTGTTTCCTATTTTTTAAAATTTAATGGAATGTAAGGTGATAGTATGATGAATATCTTATATACCCAATGTTTTTTTTAATATTATTATAAAAACACTTTATTTGCCGTTATTTAAATTTGACTCTAAATTTTTCAGTGATAGATAAAAATATATTTCTTTAGCTAGTATATTTTTTTTGCATAGTAGAACTTCCCTACTTAACTTTTTTTTAATGGAACTTGAAGCTATTTATTGTGCTAAATAAGGATAGTCTTAAATTTAAAGAATAGTTTCATAATTACAGCAAAAAAATTTGCGTTTAACAAAAATTTACTTAGTTTTCAACTCTTTTAGATGTTTTAAAGATGACAAAAATGTTTTCCCAATGTATATGAATTCAATTAGGCTGTTTTGTTATAGTTCTTCTTTAATTGTTTGTTTAATAATTGAATTATTCTAAGAAAATGACATGAATTGCTGATCAATATTTTGAAAGATGTTAATTAAATATAAATGGTAAAGGTCAAGATTGTATTTATACTAGACCTAACCATTCAATAATTATTTTAAGACAGATTAGATCAAACTGTTTAATTAAAAATTGAAAGACAGGACTAGGTCAAATAGAATTTTTAACCAAACTAGACTTAAATAAAAATAGAGTGATGTAATATAAATATTTTTTTTATTACACACGTGTTGATCTGTTATATGCAACAATGCACAACAAATAGAATATTATTTGTATAATTACACAAAATTAACTAGTTAAATATAAAATATAATGTTTAAAAAGTAAACCATTTCACCAATTTTACAATGGGTGGGAGTGAACCAATGTTATTTGAAAGAGTTACAAAAGAAGATTAATCAATTTGTGCTTTATGTCAATTGGGACAAGAACATATTTTTAATAGTAAAACATATTCTGTCTTTTACATAAAAACCAAATCAAACTAAGATGTGGTTTGGTTTGGTCTGAACCATTTGGAGCTTTGGCTTTTTTCTAAACTTATTTATTAGATAATTTTTTTTTCATTATAAACAAGAGAAAAAATATAGAATTCATTTTTTTTCCTGAGGTTTCTTGTTTAAACATAAGATGAATTACAATTATTTTATTAATAATATTTATTATTTATTTAATGAAAATTTTGTTTGGATAATATATAATTTAACTTTTTCTCTGTTTCNAATTTTGTTTGGATAATATATAATTTAACTTTTTTTCTCTGTTTCAGTTAAGTAAAAATGTATTTATGATATATAATATTGAAATAATATGTAACATGAATGTAAATGAAATTAACCTTAATAATAATTCTCAATGTTATTACACAAAATGTGTGTTAGAAAGTTTTTCTCTTTCTGTGATTTACGTTTCTAGTTTATATGTATGGAATTCTCAACTACCAAGGTAATTATTAACAAGCTACATTTGTTCTAGAGTGAAATTCTAATAATTGCTCTAAATTTATAAATGTCATGATAATCAGAATAAATTTGATTAAATTTATAAAAAAAAATCTCATACATATTTTTTCTAATAGTATTGAGCAAACTTAGAATTTATTAAATAAAAAAAAAATCTAAAGAAAAAAAAAAGTTACAGTATAGATAAACAATTTTCAAATTGCAATGTGTTCAATTTTGAATGTGAAATATTTTACTAACTTAAAGTAAATTTTATTTGTGTTAAAAAAACTGATGAAATAAATTTATATTTTGCCNTACTAGCTTAAAGTAAATTTTATTTGTGGTAAAAAAACTGATGAAATAAATTTATATTTTGCCATCTATTATAGATATTTATCATGATATATTTTATTTTTTTTAATTGGTAGTAGTATGTTCAAAATATTTTATGTAGTATTTTTCTATTAACTAATATAAATTTGTATTCATCTTAAGTTGTAACATTAAAAACATGTTTACTTAAATAAAAAACTTATATATATATTTTGAGACTTATTCGCTTATCTAAAATAAATTTAATAATTATAAAAAAAAGACACAATTAATTATTTTTTCATTAATAGAGATCATCCTTCAACAATAAAAAAAAGATTCTTGAGTGTTTTATTTATGTTAATATTTTCACCTCTGTACACATGGTACTTTATTCATGACAAAACTAAGGTATTTAATCTAATAAATTTATATACTATTAAATAACATTGTTTTTATTTAATTATTAATTTTAGATTCCAATATGGCAGTGGTTAGGTTTCAAATGGAAAGGTTTTTTTATGTCTATCACCTCTTCAATTTTACTGACGTGCATTTTATTCTTAGGGCCTTTATGCATGAATTGCATTAAAAATATACAGTTTAAAGATGTAATAAGTAAGTTTGAAATAATTTAAGTGAGAAATAATCAAATATATTTTTATTAACCTTTTGTTTTAGGTTTAGAGAGAATTAAGTCTAATTTTACTGACTTAATATGGTTAAGAAATTATATAGTTGCACCAATATCTGAAGAATTCACATTTAGAGCTTGTATAATACCACTACTGCTTCAGTGCTTTCCACCTATAGCTACAATATTTATTTGTCCCATATTTTTTGGAGCTGGTAATTTAAGTATTTTTAGTGCAATATTTTTTGAAATAATTATGTAAATATTTAAATACAGCACATTTTAATCAGTGGTTAGAGCGTATGCGAGCTGGTATATCTTGTCACCAAGCATTTATTATGTCTGGTAATAATCTTAAAGTTTTTTTTTAAATTTTTTTATTATTTAGTTGCTTTGTGTTCTTAGTTTTTCAGTTTGTCTATACCACAATTTTCGGAGCATATTCAGCATTGTTGTTTATATCAACTGGAAATTTGATTGCACCGATATTGGCTCATAAATTTTGCAATCATATGGGATTTCCTGATTTTCGAGAAATGTTTCAACTTCCTGAACCTAAGAGAAGTTGTTTATTCATTATTTCATTAGCAGGATTTATTTTATGGTGTTTTCTAATTGTATTTTGCATGGAACCATGGATTTATTCAAATTATATAGATTGGACTGAAATGAATAAATGTAATAAGACAAATAATTAAAAATATATTTTTTTAAATTAATAAAAAAAAACATTATTATAAAAAATTTTATTTACACTCCCTCAAAATAAAGGTACATAACATTTTAATTCTATGTAATTATTTTTATACTATATAATGATTTTATACAAATACTTAGTTGATATAATATTACCATTAGTTAATTACAGTAAGAAAACAAAATTACTGTATAAATATTTTATAACTATTTTACATTTAAATTTAATACAAGTATTTGACTATAAATTTCTTCAGATGAATCAAAATAATATCTGTTAAATGAGATTAGAATTATTTAATTAAAAAAAAAAAAAACACTACAAGCACTTATCTTATAATAATAATCATAAAAAGTGTTATTAAAGTTTATTATGAAAACAAACTCACAAAGTATAAAGTTCTATACAATATAGTAAATTAAAATATATTCCAAGTTAGAAATGCCAAACTTGATGGTAACAAAATTTAGTTAACTTAGTAAAAATAGTTTTGCTTATTCAGACGTTTCATTATTGATTTAATTACTAAAAAAGGATTAAATCAGAAAAATACAATTTTTACCTAAAAATAATGTAATTTTACAAATTGCAAAAATATATCCAATGTTGTCTCTATAAGGCAAGATACATAAAGTAAAAAATATAATTTACTAAACAAAAACTACTTAGAAATAATCTTGGCTTAATCACAGGGAACAATGTCAAGTCTAAATTTAATTCCCTATGTGCAGCAGACCTTCCAAAGTTATAAATATTTTTACTAACAAGATCGTTACAGAGTTTCAAGAATTATAATCGTGAGATATTGCTGACACACTCAAGATTGAGTTGAATTTATGTTTTTCACACTGCCTAAAAAAGTATAATTTTTGTATGAAAAAAAAAAAATTAAATAAATATAAAAAAAATTACTTATACTAGATTGGTTTGAGTCACAGTATTCTCTTCTAGCTTCATCCTTTTCATTACCATCAAAGTACCATAAAGTTATTGCATACCTAAAATCGATAAATTTAATTATTAAGTAAAATTTGATGATAATGTTGATTGTTATGATTATGTCACTCGGTTAAATTATGAATTGTACTACATTTTAGTTATATGTAATAATTTTAGCATAATTTTTTTTAGATTATCTACTGTTGCAAATTTAAAAAATAAATATTTCTATATATTATATTATAAAGAAATCATGAGCTGACTTATAAGAAACTTCTTAAAGAAAAAAAATATCTAAATTAATTACAAATTTTAGAAAGGAAATTTAATTTTTATAAATAATAATGGAACAACTTATTTATTCATCATAATAAATAATTTATTATTAATAACAAAACAATATTACTGTATTCACAATAAAAATATATTAACTTTTTATCTTTGAATAAAATGTTAAGTTGAAAATTAATTATTTAATTAGTAAAAATTAATTCTATAATAAAACAACTAAATACCTCGTTTTAAATGCTGGCTGAACTTCATGAGGATTTCGACGATCTGACCAGAAAAATAATATACGATCAAAGAGTGGTTCAATGTCTGCTACTTGATCACTCCAACCTTCAGGAAATATCCTCAAAAGACCTCCATTTTCCTGAACAAATTTATCATTAAAATTATAGGATATGGTTATATTAAGCTAAAAGTGAATACATTTTAAATATTTCATGATGATGTTCTGAAATTAAGCAAATTTTTTCAGGCTGAAAATGCATATAATGCCATGAATCATAAATAGGTATTAGATACCTTTTGATAAATATGATTTGAATAAAATTTCAATTTTTAAATAAAATGAAAATGTGTTAGTATATGTCTTAAAAGAAATTTTATTTAAAATCAAACCCCTTTTTTTTTTTTTTTAGCAAAAATTAATTTAAAAATAAATATCCTAGTAAATAACAAATATGGTTATACAATTAATGAATTTTTCTAGCCCAAAAAAATTAATAGGAAATCAATCTACATAATAATCATGAGGAAAATAACAGTTATTTATTTAAATACAGTTGACATTCTTATGACTCAGATTTTAATATAGTTTTCTTACTTTAATATCCCAGTCTTTATTTAAATAATAAATTGCTGTAATACATCGACCATCTCTGTTTGGGTTATCAACATGTTTTACATAATGAGACCCATGACCTGGGTAACAAGCTACCATAGCCTAAAAAGATTAAATTGAAATAAACATAATAGTACTATTAATAATTAGATAGTTGTAAATACACATTTTGGCTACAACTAGGCTTATAAGAATTTCTAAAATACATTTTTTCTATATTACTTCAAAATTTAATTTATATATAATTTAAATACAGCAAATAAATTACATCAATTCTTTTTGACTTGAAACCCACTTGATGCAACCAAGGGAATAATCTCAAGTTGTATCTAGCAATAAGTATGCTATTTATAAGCTATTAAAAACTTTAACATCTAATAAATTTTTAGATGAAACATTAANGCTTTTTATAAGCTATTAAAAACATCTGATAAATTTTTAGATGAAACATTAATAATAATAAAATAATGCTACTCACTTTGGTTCTACCATTAATTGTATAATTTCCTAGTTTTCCATTATCATTCATTTGGTTAGAACCCATAACTACAGCATCCACATCACTAATTAACTGTCCAATATTTCTACAACAATCCTCTCGACCATCAACCCATATTATTTGATCACCACGTATAGTTTTTAAATTATTTTTAGCTTTATTTCTGACTAATTGGCCATCTTTGAACACTCCCATATTATATAAATTTAGTACTTCATCTAAAACAGTCATACCACGTTCATAGCCTAAGAAGTTGTCTAAAACACACACTCCATATAAATCCATGTCACGAATGATATTACGACATAAGTCAACATAATCACTTCGTTGAGACATAAGGAGATTTGAGCTTGTAGAAATGTAGCTAGGTCTTTTATTTCGGTTAGGCCCCATTATAAAACCATTATCTAGATAAAATTAAAAAAACATAACTTGTTAAAATATTTTACCTAACAATAATAAAATACAAAATATAAATAAAAACAATAGCAGTTAACTACTATTGCTAACAAAATCATTACCAAAATTTTAATGAAATGCCTGTTCTAATAATTAAAATTGGCTGTATAAGATTTCTATTGTTTAACCTAAATGAAAGAGAAAACATTGATCAGTACCTATACCATTAAATGAGATGGTACATATAGATGTAAGAGTAAAATTGCAATATCAGAACTGCACGTACGCACTAGAAAATAACAATAATATATACATAAATATTATTTAAAGATAATAATAATGAAAACATAGTTCTAGGATTTCAGTTGCTACAACCTACATGGGTTTCGTGGTAGTGGTTACGGAGACATCTGGGTGATAACATATTTT